CATAAGTATTTAAATTCAGAAACACAATTTTAATTTATTTCGTTTTCATTTTTATTAAATACTTTTTGTTGCTTACCGCCACTGACTTTCCTTCTGGCGGAAGTGCTTTTCAGTTTACATGGAAATTGTCAACTTTTTTTTGTTTGTAAATTGCGTTTTTAATTAAAGAATTTATGATGAAATCTTATACTAAAGAAATCATCATCTGCTGTATCTGACAAGCCGATATCATTCCCAACAAAGAGGAGGGGAAAAAATTAGCAATTGGCAATAGGAAAATGAGTTATATTTTATTCTTCTTAAAAAAAATTGCGCAACATGTTTTATCCTGATCTAGAGGATAATTTTTGTATTGACGTATAATAATATGATCTTGATATGGAATGTCAAAACCTCGTAAGTAGGAGTATTGTAATACTATGATTAAGATGGATCTGATTAGTTGTTTTAATATTTAAATGGCCATATGTGAATAATTAAACAATGATAAATACTCCTGATTAAAGTAACAAGAAACAAGATCCTGATTAATAAATATATTGTAATAAATGATTCTTACCATAAAAATACACAAGTCCAAAAAGATAACACAAGCTCTCACTGGTCTTTCTAGATCTGTCTAACTTTATTTGTACAAAATCACATTTAAGACTGGTTTTTAGTTTTAGTTTATTTGTAGTTATGTAACTCTGATTTTTCTTGGATGGTTCTTCCCCATAATTAGATAAAAACAAGCAGACAAAGCAAGTGCTTCGATCTTGGTTTTACCCTCTTATGTTGACACCAAAACATGCAAAATCCTATGAAACGGTGACGTTTCACTGCCCTTACTCACTCAATCAAGAAACTTTTCACTTTTACCCTACGCCCCACAATAAATACTCATCTTTCTCAAACTGTCGTCACTTATCGTTACATTTAATAATATATCAATATAGTTTTTTTTATTATTATTTACAACTATTTCTCTACAATTCCGTTATTACGTAGTGTTGTTACCGATTCAAACTTACTGTAATCGACCGTCAAAAGTCGAAATTCAAGGGATACATACGTTAGTATATGCTTACAGAATTCAAAATTTAGAAGATAAAATACGGGTCCATCACGATTATTACAGATTTGGAAAATTTTCACCAACTTTACTTCATAGTTTTGGAATCTTAGCAAGACCTTCGAGTTGCTGTTTCCTTTTTTTCTCTCGAAAGATCTATAAAGAATCTACGTGACAGCAAAATGGGAACAAGGGACGAGTAATTAAAAAAAAAACCAAATTCAAAAAGGACCACAGACATATAAACATAGATGTCTAAAAGATGTGAATATGATTGGTTAATCTCTGTATGGTAGTGGCCAAGCTGTCTCTTAGTCCATTGTATGTTGATATAATGCAAATGGTTACGGATTGCGGTAATTCAAACGGTGTCACTAATAATGTTAGTTTTTTCAAACATCTGAAAATGTAAAACATCAATACATGGCTTGTTCAATAACGAATCACACATTTTTACGAATTAAAGTTTAATAGATACAAGTTCCTTAATTGTCAAAAATGAAATCGAACACCTACGGTTATTAAATTAGGCTACTATCGTTTTCACCATTACCAAAATAATTTAATTACGAGATACACAGCTTATTTTTGGGTTAAAACGACAACTGAGAAAATAACATTTTGCATACCTCATTTGAAATGAAGATAGAACATATCGAGATTTTGAATTTTAAGCGGTTTCTGACTGCATCATTGTTTTTTTTATGATAAGTAAAAAGAATATAGAGAAATTTCAAAAAATTCCATTTTTCAAGTGTCATTTTACAAAAATACCACACTTTTGAAATCTTTACAAAAATACCACTTTTTCAAATTTTTTTTTTTTATATTATTTATGTTTGGGTTAATTATGTCCTATTAGGATTTAGTTTTGAGTGTTTAAGGGGTTTTAAGTATCAAAACATT